CCAATGTTCATCCACAGAGTGTTTTTCTGAGGACAAAGAAAATATAAAAGGACTGATGAATGATTTATTCGATCAGACACTGTAACATGTAACAAGAGATTCATTGCAAAATTAACAAATCTACTTAATAGTAAAAATCAATAACCAAACTGATGGATCTTATTTGCTGTTAAACTCTGTGTTAACAGTTAATTCATGTAAACTAAAATAACTGTAGGACTTTTAGGAAACTTTAATCTTAGTTAAAGTGATAATAATTTGTATTTAATTTATATTTTATTCATATTTTAATGTCTTTATTTTTTTAAAGGGCTCCTAATTATTCACAGCTGAAAAATATTTTGGGTTGTCTTTTTCATCTTACCTTTGAGTCCTGAGCTGGTCTCTGACAGCCTCTGCACCAGATCCATCCTGTTCATGTCCATGAAAACTTTCTTTGACACCTCCACAGAGTGTTGACCACATTTCTCCACCATCACATTCACCAGTAGTTCTGCCCTGTATGCCCACTTTATTTGTTCCCATAAGAGTTGTGGAAGGTTCCTCTTGAACAACGTGAACTGCAGCAACCACTTGAAGGTCTTAAATTCTTCAGAACTCAAATCATTGAGTGTTTCTAAAAGCAGCTCTTTAACAGACGCCATTGTTGCAACCTGAAACATTCCAAGTATATATGTTATTTCTTCACTAAAAAAAAGTTTTAAAATAGATATGCACCTAATCAATGACGTTAATTTAGACATTTGAACTTTTTCTACAAGATCACCTAAACTATTGATACATTAAGTAATTATCTGTTTGTTAGGACAGATGATGAATCTTTTTTCTTTCTACTCTTTAATATCTGAAACCTGATTAATGGGTGTTTTTATATTTCCAGCCTGTAACTTTTTCAGTGTGTTGCCAAACACAAAACTGACCCACCTGATCTTAACATTTTACATACAAATGCATTTACATTCAGATTCTGACATGAGACATTGTTGATGAATTAGCTGTAGAAACAGGTATATATATATATATATATATATATATATTATTTTTTTTTTCCATATTTTCTATTTTGTTAAATTCTTTGAAAAACTGTTTCACAATGACAATGACTCGATGAAAATAATAAAATTTTTGAGGTCAACCTCATCTCAGCTTCAGTTCAGAGAATTTGGTTTAATTTATCATCACTTATCAGCATTAATGGTGATATGAGTTTAAACCTGAATCTTGAATATAATATTGACTAAAAGCTGTACTCTGCTTGGTCAGACAGATATGACATTACTCACTTTGTGGATCAGTGCAGACAGGTGTTCATCTACTGAGTGTTTTTCTGAGGAGACAGAAAGAAAATAAAGGAAAGAGAACTGAGTGACATCAGGCAATACTGCATTGTACTATTGTACTATTTCACATTAGTAATAAAGTATATATTTGTACACCAGATGATGTGTCTTCTTTTCTTCATATTATAAATCCTATTATTTATCATGTAAAGAAAAGAAGACATAAACTCATGACACTTGTGTAAAGGACCATGTTTTTATCTTTATTTTATTTCTTGTCTTACTTTTGTCTCCTGAGCTGCTGTCAGACAACCTCTGCACCAGATCAGTCCTCTTCATTTCTTTTAAAACCTCCTTGGTCTTCTCCACAGACTTCTGGCCAAAAGTCTGCACCATTGAAAACACTATGTCCTGCAGGTCTGTTATTTCCTGCATTGTTAATTGGGAGTCTGTCCTCTCAAACATAATTAAGTCAGGTCTGAGGATTTGAAATGGATGCAACTTGCTCTTGAACTCCTCAAACTCCACGTAACTCAAATCTTTCAGTGTTTCCAAAAGCAGCTCTATCCCAGACGCCATCGTTTCCACCTGTTAAATTCAAAGAAAAAGTTCATGGGGCCAAAGTAAGATTTCTCAGCAAGGACGATTAAGGATTTTTATGTTATCATCAGTGTGTGTTTTATAAATATGGATGTGGTAAGAGTAAGTCAGCACTATCACATGAAATTATACAATTAATAATATTTGTCCAATTGAATTTTTGTGTTTATGGCTTTACAACAGTTTATCTGTTTAACTAGTTCTATTGTCCTTCTAATATAAAAAAAGAAGCAAAGCAATTAATTTCTTAATATCTTTTTAATAGATTTGTTCCCTATGTCTAAAACATACTATTAACATTATTTTTTAAATAACATTCATGCTTAATACCTCATGTCTACATTATGTATCTTGAGGAGCTCTGTTAGAAAACAATGTCAGGAAAATTACAAATATTGTATCATCAGTTATTCATCTACTGAATAAAAGCTGCACTGTGTAAAGTCAGTGTGATGTGACATACTCACTCTCTGGGTCAGTGAAGGCCGCTGTTTCTCTGAAGGGAAAATAAATTAGAAAAGACATCTTAGTACTTAAGTGTTGTTATATTAGCTAATGGGGATAAAATAACACACAAACATGAGGACATTTACAGAGAGGATGTCATACTAGCATTGCACCTACCGTCTTCCATGGTGTTTACACCAGCTGCTCCAGCTGAGGGTCCTGCAGCTGGAACAAATTTAGAGAAAATTAAAACTGCTTAACAATGGATGGTCTGAAAGTAATGTTCATGCAATTAACTATTTTTCCATACACACATCTAATAAAATTAATTCTTTCACTATATAAAATAAATTCCTAATATAGGTACAGACTTACAATTGATTTGGCCGCGACTTCCTATTCCTGCTTTTAAAACAGATTTTTATAATTGCCTTCATTTAGTTCCAGTTTAAGAAAATACTTTAAAGGATCAAACTGTTATATTTTATTTTTGTGGTATTGTCAACAAAACAAAAAGAGCCAAACCAACAATGTGTCAGTCTGTCTCTCAATACTTTTTTTCTGAATTCCCAGCCTGTCTGTGGCATTCAGCCTCAAGTCCATTTGTTCCTGCTTGGAGATATAAATTAAATATAGTTTTGCAAGATTGATTACTTGCATTGCATTGGATTGAGAATTTTATTTTGAACATGGTAAAGCCCAACAAAACACTAAAAATAAAGATAAAATAAAGTGAAATCAAAGAACTATACAATGGACAGAAAAAGGAAAAGAAAAAAAAAAAAAAAGAAAAGAAAACGGTAGTTAATCTTTAATGGTTAACTTCTACATTACATTTGGCTGTTGTAGACAACAAGACTCAGTAACAACACATCTATTAAGGGTTAGTAAGATGGACTATGTACATAATATATTGGTGCACCACAGTTGCTGAAAAAAGGAAAAAAATTTGACTTCAGACTTTATTCATAACTCTCTTGTGTCATAAACATTAACAGGGTAACACAAAATGTTAAACAGCTCTATACTCTACAAATGTTCAATGAATTATTTAAAGTAGGCTCCAAAGCATCATGTCAGAAACAATGGGGGTCACAATATAAGCTACAGTACAGTTAAGTACAACAGTAGATTGGCACTCTAATCAGCTTCTCATGCACAAGCTTTGATTCACTATAAAAGGGGCACAAGCAGTGTCGTGTGTAGTAAAAAAAGTTAGATTTGAACTAACTGGAGCGGCGAACTAAAGACATACTAAATCAAGATTGGGTCTGATACAGGCAAGTAAAGGCTTATTTTCACTTACTTTGATTTTATTGATGGGTGGGGTCAGAAAACTGTAAAAATAATATAAATAAATAAATAAGTAAATAGGAAATTAAAAAAACATTCCTAGCTGTCCAAAGTCCAAAACCCAAGTACTATTTTACATTCCACATGGATGCAGCTTATACATGAAAGAAACCTTAAATACCTTATAATACACTTAACTACTGTAAAACTCCATTTAAAAAAACTGAAAGCAGAACCCATCAGACCAGGGTTCACCATTTCACTAGCCTCTTGGGACAAATAACAGGCACCGCGTCTCAATTAAACAACCTTTTCTGGCATTTTTTAGAAATTCTTTGGGCTCTATAAAACTCAAACTTCTTGGTTCTAAACAGGCTTGGACTTTTCTGCACAACAATAAATGTTTCACCCCTCTCCTTAGATTGGTTCTCTCCCTTCTCCACAATTCAATCTTTCATTTACAGAAACTATGAGCACCAAATGTTTAAAAATTGAAGTACTTTTGGGTTACGCGACCTCTTTTCAGGATCTTTACAAATGTTAACAAAGGTGTATATTTAATTCTCACTTTAGTTTAGTTCATATCATTTAGTTAGGAGCGTTATATATTTTCTACGACTGTACCTCAATAAACCAGATTCTGATTTGAAGAGGGAAGAGGAAAGTATGAAACTGGAGAGTTATGATTAACTACCGTTTTAAAAAAAAACTTGTAGCTTCAGATTTTTAGGAGTGGAAACGCCCCACTTATGTTGTTTAATAATGGCCAGGAAATTGTTCATCATTCGGTTATTAAGACGACTTTTAAACAGTGAAGCAGTGCCTCTGCTGGGCTCCGGTAGTAACGCTGAAAGTGTTGACGCCTGCGAAGCGGGAAACTCACCTGGTGCTCTCTCTCTCTCTCTTCTCTCTCCAGTTAGTCGTTTCAGTATCTTTGAAGATTGGAAAATCAGGAGCAGGTTTTTAAAATCCAGCCACATTCTACCTTTGACTCGTTCCCCTGAATGCCGGAAACATAAACTAGTTTTCCTTCAGTCTGGGAGGCAGTGTTCAGTGCAGTGTCAGACTTGCCGCCGTCAAAGCCGCTGCGTCAATCCAGCCGCACTTTAAATTTCGGCAGTGTACAAAGTATTCTCAAGCATTATTGTAAATGCGGCGAAAACAGCGCATTCACTTTTTATTCACCGATTCTATCACGAATAAAGGTATTAAGAACAGCTAGCCTTATATTCGAAACTACGATTTAAAATAAAATCTGGTTGTATTAAAGTGGTTTCATGCCGCCCATGAGTGAATAAAAAAACATACGTATTTCAGTTGTTTTTACTGCAACCAATTGTGGGAGAAATTGCCAAAATAAAGTCCCCATATTGTATACCCTCCAGATAGCATTATTTTTCTGTATCTTGGAGCTACTTGTAAAATCACTTTGCTCAATAATTCCATGGGCTATGGGATGGTATATTTGGATCTTCTACCACTATAAGACTACAAAGCTACATTAATATCAAGCATTTTTTACTGCACCAATTTGTGGGAGAAATTTAACTATAAATATTCCATATTATTATACCTCCAAATGTGGCATTATTTTCATATATTTGATTCTACTGTTAAAAAATCACTTTTGCTTCAATATTCCTGGATATGGATGGTATATTTGACTTCTACACATTATAAAGACTTACACAGCATACTTAATATCAGCATTTTTTAAGCACAATTTTTTTGAAATTCAATATAAATTCCATTATTTATACCCTCCATATTGCCATATTTTCATATATTTGGACCTACTGCTAAAACGGCTTTGCTCAATAATTCCTGGATATGCGATTGCGTATATTTGCCTTAATATCAAGCATTTTTTACTGCACCAATTTTGCAGAAATTCAACTAAAAATTCCGATATTTGTTACCTGTAAGTGGCCTATTTTCACATTTGACCTTAGCTGTTAACCACTTTGCTCAATGATTCCTGTCTATGGGTGATGCTTTTCATTTTACTTCAAGAATGATGCCAGTAATCATGGGATAAAATTTCACACAAATGTTTAACTAACATGTTATAAGAAAGTGATGCATAAACTCATCAAAAAATAAACACTAAACACGGAATCCTACTCACTCCTTAATTCGTTTACTTTCACACAAAATGAAATCTCAACGTCCACATTCTTGGTATATTACCCGTAACTGCAAAAACACCAAAATTCATTGTCTCTTTGATTTGCGTGGTCTGGTGGGGTGCTTTGTATACATGCTGACTTGCAACTTGGTTTGGGGGCCTCCTCTCTCCTCTTGTTGTCACCTGGCAATTCTTTTCCCTTAGCCATCACACAAGGCATATTACGTAACTGAGGACAAGGAGGAGAGGATTCTTTCTGGAAAGGAGCTTATTAGTTTGGAGAGAACACAAGTATGTTCCTATGAGGAAGTCTACTATCAAGAAGGCATTGACGTATGGCTACACTGAGCCTATCAAATTATTCTTTATTTCACACATTGGGCTTACTGGGATGCCCATTGTACCTACTGGTCTCTTCCTCATATTTGGCTCTCTCAACTACTTGCTGAGTGGGAGACACAAGGAAGAACATGCGATTGCGGGAAAGTATAGGAAACAAGTCAGGCATGCTATTAAAAGGCACCCACAGACACCAATCAAAAAGAGCAAAACGGACGGAGACTGACACACAGGGGGGAAGAGTAAAGAACAGCGGGAATATTTGAGAAATGCATCCTTATGGCTTATGGGCTGCAACACATGACAATGCACAATACAGAATTTTATTTTAAGTTAAGTAAATAATAACTGATAATTTTGGGGGTTGAAGCTCTGTAGGGTGATGTATTTCTGAATTTGGTGTCTTTGCAGGTCTTGTTAAGGGTATAGTTTTTGGTTTCTCTGCCACGTTGTTTAGCATAGTGAGATCAGTGTGACGAGCTGTTTGCCAGGTGTGTGTTCGTCGCTTACGTACAGGTGCCTGCAAATGGACACAGCAGAGTTGCCATGACTTCAAGAATGGTGGCCTTGAAGTTGGATGTGTGCTGGGTGAGAAAGTAAACGCATATATGTAGGAATCTGAATAGTGGTTCTGTGTTGTAGTGTTTAATTTTTTTGATGACTTTTTCATCACTTGTCTCCTTAAACATCATTAAACATTTGGTGTGAATTTTTGTCCCTGATCTACTGCAATGGCTGATTCTGTGTGGAGTTAGTGATAATGAAAAAGCACACCATTTGTAGAAGGAATTAGTGTTCGGGGCAAGTGTTTTTACAGCAGGTCAAACTGTATGGAAAATATGCCACTTGGAGGGTACAAAATATGGAATTTTATTGTTGAATTTCTCAAAATTGGTGGGCTGCAGTAAAAATGGCTTGATATTAAGGTATACTTTTTTAGTTTGATATAGTGTGTAAAATAAGTCAGATATAGCAGTCCATAGCCTGGGGAATCTGTTTGTCGCAAAGTCTTTTTACAGTAGGTCAAGATGATTAGGAAATTTGCAATCTGGAGGGTATGAATCATGCGACTTTATATTTGTGGAATGTTTTTTCAAATTTCGGTCTTGGCTCGTGCCAGTAAAAATGCCAGGTATATATTCGGAGTGTTGATGCTGTGTATGTCTTAGATGATGCTGAGATAGTAGAAGTATTACCACCCATAGCCAGGAATTTGTTGAGGCAAAAGTGTTTCTTACAGTAGCTCACAATATTAATGGAAAATATATGCAACTTGGGGAGAAACAACATTATGGACTTTTATAGTTGAATTTCTTCACATTGGCTGCAGTAAAAATGCTTGATATTGAGTGTGTGTGTTAGTCTTATATGTGCAGAAATGTCAAATATACCATCCATCTCCAGGAATTATTGAGCAACAGTGTTTTTACAGTAAGGTCAAAATATATGAAAATGAGTTAACTGGAGGGTATGATATAGACTTTTTTATAGTTGAGTTCTCCAATTGGTATGCAGTAAAAATGCTTGATATTGAGTGTGTGTGTAGTCTTAGATTATTATTGAGCAATTGGTTTTTACAGCACCTGAAATATAAGAAAACATGCAATCTGTAGGTATAAATATGGGACATTTATTTTGGCATTTCTCCACATTGGTGCAGTAAAAACAATGATAATACGTATGTTTTTTATTCATCATGGGCGCATGAAACACTTTAATACAACATATTTTATTTTAAATGTAGTTTCGAATTATAGCTTACTGTTCTTAATACCTTTATTTTGAAAACTGGAAGTGCATACGCTGTTTCTCCGCATGCTGAGAATACTTGTACACTCGAAATTTAAGTGCGGCTGATTTGACCACGGAGATCAGAGTAACGGCTGGCTTGACCGCAGTACAGTTATACTTCCCTCTTTACTCCTCAGACCAACGCCCATTACACTGCACAAAGTCCCTGTACCATTAGATAAATGTTCTATATATGTATAGAACCAATATCCAATATTTATTATAAACTTCTTTTTTTAATTTAATTTGAGGATTTTTCTGATATGTGTTGTGTTGACCTGCATATTTTTTCTCTCTCTGATCTTTAATTTCAGAGGTTGTATTTAAGAAGCTTCAGTTAATATTCTTCTTGATGAAGATGAGCTCCTTTAATATTAACAACAGCTTGTTCATGTTTTCTATCAGGGAATATAGTGTCCCCTTTTATAATGTGCTCTGCAGATCATTAAAAACTAAGATGATCAGAAGGGCTGGCTCTGTGATTGGCCACGATAGAAAACAGAAAGAGAGCTAAAATTGTTTTTTAACAGACTCAAAAGCTCATTCACTGAGCAACTAGTGATGCCTCAGTGACTCAGAAGGTCCAGCATCAATCCTATTTTACACTTTAGATGTGATCATTCCAGGTCTTATTTATTTGTTGTGTACTCTGACTACAATGTCTATATTGTTTGTTGTCTGTATGATGTAATAGTGATGCCTCTATATGACCTACATAAGCACACAAGACCATCAGCAAGAAGACTGGCTATTTCTGTGTAATTATTCTTAATGTCTGCAACTTAATTCATTTGAGATTTTCCTTGAAATCAATGAATCGAGGCAGTGGAATCACTGCTATAATTAATTCAACTCTTTGTCACCTGCTTGTTTTCAACAAACTCTGAAAAGCTCTGTGTCAGGTGGAATGAGCCCCATGTGGTTACTGGAGAGTATATTTTAGCCCTTTTAGAGGGAAAAGATGAGCATACACATGTGATTTCTAAACTCAAATTCAGCCCAAATGCAAGAACCACACATAACAATCAGAAGATTTTATTCTATATTTCAAAGTATAAAACATGTTGAAAGACCCTCAAAAAATATATATTCTTATTGGGCAGATTAAAAGTGATGAAACAAGAAAATAACACATTTGGCATAAACAAAAGCTTAAACACAAAAATTATAGATAACCATTCATAATCAAACATGTTTGCATTTGATCAATTAAGGACTAATTTATGTGATGTGTAGGAGAAACCGTGGTGGCTGCAAAAACTTCTGAGCTACTGTAGAAACATGGAGGGACAACATGGCAAACTTCATGGAAGGCGACCCACGTCTGTAGATGAAGACGGCTCATTGTAAGGTAACAAAAACACTACCTATGAATATCATTTCTGACAATAGATCCTCCAACACACTGGACCTTCAAATGAGCCTCACTAATCATTGGAGGTAAAGCACCACACACCGTACAAATTTCAACTAAATTAAGAGTCAAATTAAGGTCAGCACCTCTGATTAAACATAGAGCATCAAATAACATTCATTAGAAATCACCCACAGAGATAAAACATGAATAGTTCTCTTTTATAAAAATATCTTTTGTTCAGGTAGGACTGTGTGTTTGGTCTAAAGGCTTGATCAATAAGCTTGATTTAAGATGTCTGTGTATGCTGTGCCAGCTTTCAGGAAACCAGGGTAGAGTGCCCTTCTTCTTTGCTGAGAGGAAGGCAGAGCCCTGATTTTATCATAACTTTCTATTTTAAAGAAACAAATGCTACATAATTTTTTTTTTTTTTAAATCTATATTTAAAAATGTAAAAAAAATATATACATATAGTCACAATTATATTTGTGTAAAATCAGAAACAAAAATGTATTTTTAAAAAGTGACTATAATACTCTATTATACACTCTTTCTGTTCTGTATGTACAGCCTGGTGCTGTAATTTACAGTTGGGAAAAAAATCACACTTGACTTTCTGCTTTGACTTGTTTCGCAGCTTCCAAGTGGAAAACAAAATTCTTCTTCATTATTACAATTAACTGCTTTGTTCTAGCCATCATGGCTCCCTCTCTTCATTCATTCTACCACTACTGCAGGGTGGAGGGCCAACTTGAATTAGATATAGCACCAGGATGAGTATTTTCATAAATGCAGGCTATAAATTAGTTCTGTTAATGTGTAAAAATACTGGGTTCAGGTAGCCTAAGTCAATAATTGGTCAAAATTTGATTAATTTAACCAATGGTCGCAGTATTCATAACTCCATCCTCTTCAGATCAGCAACAAGGAATGACTCCTCCTCCTCAAGGATTTTGTAGAAGATGTCTTTGCCTGCATCTCCAACAGCTTTAAGGGGACCACTATAGAGTGTCCTCATCTTCTCTTGAGTGGTTGTGATAGCCCTGATGGTATCATAATTTTCTTGTTGGATTACTTGTTCTTTCAGGAGATTATCCAAGATTGGTCTGATATTGCTCACTCTCTTGATCAGATCACACCGGTGTTTATCCACAAAGTGCTTCCCTGAGGGCAGAGGGGGTGGAAAATAATTAGTTTGAGTTTGATAGCTGGCATCAGTTTAGTAAAAAGAAAAAAAATGTTACCACACACAATCAGAAAACATGTTTACATGCACTGTAGATAGAAGATGCTGTGTTGGTCCTGACTCTTTTAGGAGTGTCTGTCTTGATACAGACTGACAGCACAGCGGACCAAAGTCAAATTCTTCCAAATATGAATCATTTGAAATGTCTTACCTTGTTTATGAGGAGTACTTTGGTATTCGTCTGAAAAAAATAACAATAGACATGTTATTCGCTAATGATGGATATTTAACTCAATAAAATGAAAGTGGTACACAGGCAGTGTAGATACATTCTTGTGGTAACTGACCTTTTCGAATTGTACAGGTCCATATTGCTTGTTTACCATTTATATGTGCGAGTTTGAGCGCAAAGTTTCTGTCGGGATTTTCAATGAACACTTCGTAGAAATTTGGGGTTCTGCTTTCATATCTGAGCTTTAGTTCCTGTGAAAGAAATTAAATAATGACAAAGGGAATGAGAGGAAAGTTAGACTTTGAGCACCAGAATTTTTCAACTGCAATAATTCACGTTTTAAAATGAAGAGGTATTGTTATTTTAATCAGAGACATGAACAGGGACAAAATGATGAATATTATCTGCTTTGGCTGAACTTTTACAAATTGTGCTTCTGTTCTGCAAAGAAAGAAAATCGTGGATTTTGTCCTCCATTTACACTGAAATTAAGGAGGACATCTCTCTGTGGCCAGTATGGATGGAGTAGATGAACACTTAGATCATGTTATTATTGTTTAAGGCATGCTTGAAAAAAAAGTAAACCTATCCTTAAAGAACCTCAGCTGCTATGAGGCTTTGACAGCTGTATGTCAAACACACATTAGAAATAACAATAGTTACCTATAGTGCGACAGAGTTTGTGTATATGTAATGGGGGAGTGTTTTTTAAAGGCCTTGAACCCTTCCACTAATGTTTTAAGAAAATGTGATACCTTTAACTAGACTGTTTCAGAGACGTCTGCATAAGACTTGTACTTGAAAGTAAAGTTGGATCTCAACAGTATATAACTTATTTCTCAACCACAGTTCACTCCACAGATTTAAAAGCAGTTCAAACCATACTTCAGGACAAATTTCTGCACCATCCAAATCTGCAGTTAAAATGAAATGATCGCGCATTTTCAGGGACTTCTCTGGATGTGGCTTTCGGATTACTTTGTATCCATAGGACAATTCCCTCTTGTCCATTGCCTGGAGAGAAGAAAAAGGATTAGAGTAGCAGACATTGTGTGCTTATCCATGTATTTGTAGTGCTATTCTGTATATTATAATGACTGTTGTTGCAATAAGATATTCAATAACCTGTTGTAGACCAGGATCACGTGGGATCAGATAAACATGGAGTGTCAGGAATGCTGTGTTGGTCTTGTATATTAACACATTACAGTTTACTTTCACAGGAATGCCAGCTTTCATCAGGACCGCTCTTGGAGAAAAAACTGGTTCTGATAACTTGACATGAGATTGTGTGACCTCAGACACTTTTTCCACTTCATCTCCACAGTCATTGATGTGTAAGACTGCAAACTTGCTGGCTATTTTAGGGTTGTCATCTGCACAAAATACAAGCACACACAATTAGTGAGGAGAAAAGGATTACATCAGTTTTTGTACACATTAGGAGAAAGTACATTTTATTTTATTATTGTCTTCATGTCCACTTACCTGTGCAGATCCAGTGTGGCAGGTACACTTCATCCAACCTTCCAGCACTGACTGTGATGTCAATTAGGGGACCTGCAGGCATGTATTGGATGCTTTCCATCCTCTCTATGTGTTCCTCCCAAGAGCAAAACTGGTACTTAAAGCTGACCTTTTCCTTACATAACCAGCGCAACCCAGAGACACTGCATTCAAACTTTCCTGCTTCCGTCTGTAGGCTAAATCATGGAAAAGAAAAGAGGTGAGTTTGGTGTTTGTTTATGCAAAACAATACTGATTTAGCGGGACAATGGAATAAATGTAAATTTTGAGACCACGTTCCTTCTTCCTTCTGTGAAATGAACCAACCTCAACTTTTTCCTATAGTTCCAGTTTGCTGTGATGCAGTATTCAGGATGTTATTTTTACCTGTAAAATGGAGCCTCATCTGCATCTGTACTGTTCACTTCAGGTTCAAGTTTAGTCCAGTCACTGGAGTCCTGCTGCAGAGGACAATCAGTTTTGCAAAAGTGTAGAAATGTATCTTTTTGCATGATCACATAAATGAAAAAATACATGAATGACAAAAATAAACGAATATAAGAAATTACCGTACTGCTGCCACAACCCTTAAGCTCCAGGCTTCCTGAAGGCCCTTCTGAAGACAAATGGGATTTAAAAATAATGATGTTACAGTATGTTGACAGATAAAATTATATGGTAACTTTCCATTTGTGCTGCATAGTTCTGCTTTAATATGTAACACTAGGTAGTATTATTACATATAAAGTAATACAAATTAAAAAAAGTAAAGTAATGGTTGTCGATGTTGCAGCCTTGCTATATACAGTGTGTTTCAATGCACTTAAGTAACCAGTGTACTCAGGTAAACAGAACATGTTCATATGCACTGACTGTAGCAATCTAGTTACAGTAAAGCCGTGTACAGATGCAGAAGATCAGTAATCAGATTTCTCCATAGTAGTGATAGATGCTGTGCTGATCCTGACTTCTTTTTTGTGTGTGTCTGTGTTAGAGACAAACAGAAAACAAGAAAGTGTCTGAATTTGACGCCAATTTATTAAGACTTCTAGAAGTTGTGCCACTTTGTATGGAGTTATTTAAAATACAAGGATACATCATTCCATGTTATAATTAGGGATGTGCCGATCCAATACTCAGTATCAATATCGGTCCCATACTGGCCAAAATTAATAAATCAGATATTGCAGAGAGAAAAAAAGTATAATACGATACAATTCATTTGCCTAAACTGTTACATAAAACTAAACTTTACACTATACATTTCTTCCTTCATGGTAGTAGAATATTTGTTCCACAGCATGATGTTTTTAAGATAGCTAAGTTGAGCAAAATGCATCCATTTTGTTAGTGGTCACTGACATGAAAAATTGGTATTGGGTCATCACTAGTAATCTGGAAGTCACAAAAAAATTTTAGCAAATAAAAATGTCTCAGACTGCACTACACGTGAGGGAGAATTATATGTTTTGTTTGTGTGTGTTTTTTTTTAAACTTGGGAACTTCAAACTTTAAAAATATTGAGCAACAGATTTTAGAATTAAACAGTTCTTTTATCTCAGCTATCAGTTTGTTTATATTTGATACCAGCACATACATTTGTTACAGTTAATGTAATTTAATACAGTGAATTGTAGTTTGTGTTAAACAATTCTATCAATAAGAGTCGAGTCATTCTGGGTTTACCTTGGTCTTGTTGCTGTGGACAATGCTCAGTGCTGTATGAGGTTGTACTTCAGCACAATAGTGCTTTCAGCTAAATGTTAACAACAGCATCAGCTGCATCAGCTAACATGCTCATACAGGTGAGGCTAATGGAAATGGTAGTTTTGCAGGCATTTCCTCAGATATTGGACACACTACATGACCTGATGGATGGGCCAGATGAAAAGTTTGATTATTCTTGAATCCTCTGAGCATCACGTATGTGTGTACCAAATGTCCTGATCATCTATCTGACCTGCTTGTGGCAGTAGAGGAAACATCCAAGAATAATCAAAGACAGTGGGATTTTTTCTCTGGAGACCATCAATGTCTGTACAAAATTAAATGGTGTTTCCCCTTGGTATGTTTCCCTTGTTTCTTTGCAGGAGACTGAGTGGCAGGGGTGTGGCTATGAGCTACACCTGATTCCCCGCTGATTACAGGGCTTTAGAGGGGGTTCATCAGTTAGTTCTCTCTCTCTCCGTCCAGCCAGCAGGTCCTGGGTTAAATGCTGTCTTTGGTTTGATAAATCCCTTACCTTTTTCCATACACATCCAATAGTTGTTGAGATATTTCAGTCCGGACCAAAGTGATAAACAGACACACTGACATTGCGATCCATAGAGCAACTAGCACGGCTAAAAACATCTAAAGTGAGTGATTATAGTCATCAGACATGCAAGCATACAGGGCATGCTTCTAGATAATATAACGTTCAAAACACATATTCAAACTGCTGCCTGTCTGTCCACATGTATTTCAAATGAAGAAAAAAAAGGAAAGAAAGTATAGACCAAGTTCTGCATACCACATTTTTGATATTTGAATATAGTTTTTTCCCACAACTTACCTTTGGATCCTGAGCTGATATCTGACAACCTCTCCACCAGATGAGCCTTATTTATCTTCTTTAAAACCTCCCTGGTTACCTCCACAGACTGCTGGCCGTAGATCCTCACCATCAGCTCCACTATTTCACCTCTGCCATCGGCCATCTCCATTTGGTGTCTTGCAGAGGTGGCAAAAGTACACACATTCTTTACTCAACTAGAAGTACAGATACTTGTAAATGCGCAGAAAATTACAGACTCTGAAACAGATACAAGTAAAAAGTACTAAAGTAAAGTACAGATACCTGGAAAACTACTTAAGTACAGTAACAGAGTAATTGTATTTCGTTACTTCCCCTCTGGTATTCTGTGATTCTTGGGAGGCCTTTTATCGTTTCAGTGTTCCGCAGGAGCCACTTGAATTGCTCAAGATCCATATAACTTAAATCTTCTAGTGTTTCCAAAAGCTTCTCAAGAAGTGATGTCATGGTTATTTCCTGATGGATACAAAGTGATCAGAGGAAAATTCATGTAATATCTCTAATATCTCTGTAGAGATGAAAAAAACCATTTCTTTTCATTAACTCCATCTATAAAATCAGATTTTAAGATCATCACAACACAGTATGATTTATTAAATTACTTTCTATAAACTTGTTACTAGTAATTGTGCTTTTTTAAAAAAAAAAATTCTACTCCCTGACACTGTGCTATCACAAGCAGGAATGAGCCACCTGATCACATGCTTTTATTGCTTCTGTTTTTTTGTTTTTGTTTTTGAATTTATTCAGGCAGCTTGAGATAGACAGAAGAGAGAGAAGAGAGAGGGGATGAAACGCAGCACAGGCCCACAGGTCAGAGTTGAACCCATGGCAACTGCAGCAAAGACTCAGCCTTCGTAGATGAGGCCCCAGCTCTGCCAGGAAGGCTATAGGAAGCCCTGTTCTCATTGCTTTAACAGCAGATCTGATTTTTGTGATTTTAAAGTTTTTTTCCACCTCTTTACTGTTTAAATGACTCATTTTCAACCTTTCATTATTAAACTATTAAATTATGTGTTGTTGTGTAAACTGTGTCATTACTCACTTTCTGGAGTGGTTCAGACTCATGTTTCTCTGAGGAAAAAGAGTTAGAAAATGACTCAGGATTGATTCAAAATCAAACTATAAACAACTTTAGTCAGATTTAGTTGCTTTTGAATAAAACATAATATGACAAAATCTACTTGTTTCTGACATCATGTAAAACCATGAGAGAGACAGAGGACACCATAATAATTACACCTATTAAATCTGAAGGACTGAAGTATACTCAAAGTATTCGGCCATGATGCAATATACTGTAAACGTTTGTAACTTAAGGCCCAATTCTGACCCACATTGAACACATAATGAAGTTAATGTCATCAAGGTCACACATGTTTCTGTGTTCTTAGCTATGGTTCCTAAACTAATGTCTGAAATCTGAAATCTGTTTGAAAAATATTGTGTAATGTGGCAGTTTTTGTATTATTCTCTGACCTTTGAGTCCTGAGCTGGTCTCTGACAATCTCTGCACCAGATCAGTCCTGTCCATGTCCATGAAAACCTCCTTGGTCACCTCCACAGACTGCTGGTTCTCCACCAGGTTCTCCACCATCAGATCCACTAGCTCTTCTGCACTGTGTGCAAACAGCATTTGCCTCTCTGAGATTTGTGGGAGGCTCTTCTGGAAGTACGTGAACTGCAGCAAAAACTTGAATTTCTCGAGCTCTTTGAAACTCAAACCATTGAGTGTTTCAAAAAGAATCTTTCTTACAGCTGCCCTCGCTGATACCTGAAAAATTCAAAGGAAATGTTAAGCAACAGATTTATGTCTTTGCATTTTGTCAATGTCAGTCTTTTTCACAAAGAGAGTTTGAATGTTATAAGATTTAAGTTTTTATTTCTTTATCATTCAAGACAATGATACACTTATATTATCTGTTCTATTGATTGATGTTTATGATGATGAAGATGCTTTTTTCTTTATCCGTTGACCCTTTAATTCCTGTAAACTGATTAGTACCTATGTAACACAACATATTATGTTTCTGTGCAGTGACTCTATCAGATTTATCTGACTTTATTTGTATAGCACTTTTCATACAATCAAAATGTAACACAAAGTGCTTTACAGATTAACCCACAAGAGAAATGATATGCCCAATATTATAACAAATGAATAGAACAGATTATAGTCTATACATAAATAGAAATGTAGACAAAGTAATAAAAAAAGCTTAAAATGTCTATGAATACTACTACTACTACTAATCAGGCTTGGAGGTAACATATTACATTTAGGTGAGTTATGAAATGAGGATACAAGAAAAGGTCATTGTAATCCATTAGCAACATAATTAAAAGATATAATCAGATTACAGTGACATTTATCAAAAATGGGGATCATTTAGCAGGATTACAATTTTAAAAAAAAATCATCTTTTTCTTAGAAATACACTGAGCAAAGAACACATTTTTTATGCTAAAA